TATTATTATTATTATTATTATTATTATACCCAACCAAACCATTTGTTATTGAAAGAAGATAGTTGGTTGTAAGATTTTTTTACTGCTTATTTTGTATTTACTTATGTTTATTTGTTTCGTGTGTTAGTTTCGTTGACTTATCGTTTTCTACCTCCCTCTTCATACAATCTTTCGTCTGCCCACACTGGTTAGTATAGGGGACAGTGCCCTCTATTAAATATGGTCTGTCTGTCTGTTAATCTCATCCGAAGAAAAGATAAAAAAGGAAAAAGAATCGGTAAGAAATAAAGCAGACAAAGATAAATTAATATCCAATATTTTGACCTAACGATAGGCGTTTAAAAAATTGACTCTTTGGTGCACGGAAGCCGCAACTTTTTCTGCTAGGCAAAATCACTACCCTCTAGCAGATTCGTCATTCATGAAATATGTATACATATTTCTTGAATGATGAATCTGCTAGAGGTTAATGATTTACCAACCGACAAAGAGCAGAGAATCTGCCGGCGGAGACGTTATACTAACACACATTTTCTTTGCCATATATAGGAATGCAATAGGAATTGATGTATTAACTGTAAACTTAATACCTTAGGAATATCTAGAGTGCTCGTCTTTCCCGAACTGTAAAGGAAGGCACGCACTACATGCAATACTCGAGTTTGATATAATTTGAATATATATGTATATGAGTAATAGTTCCGTTTCCCTTCTAGCACCTTCCTATTCAAGAAAATTGTAAGCGGATTGATTTACAGACATAAGAGTCAAAAGGCTAGCGTGAAACGCTGCCTGAGTTCTTCAGTTTCCGACAGGGGAATCCCATCGGACACATGCAGTTTTATTCCAAATCTGCGGGAAGTGTTAAAGTAGTGTGCGGGGGCTCCTAGAGATCGAGAGGCATTTAGAAATTGATAGATGGTTGTGCAATAGATCAGGTGTACAAACTCGTTTTGTACAATACAATACAATACAATAGACTCTATTTTAAGAGGGTTGCACTTAACAGTTTAGGAATTAAACTGATGACGCTGTGGCCTTAGTATAGAAAGGCTAAAATATTTCAGTCAATCTCAGCAATTAATTATAAAACCCGTTTTATAACTAACAGGTTGGAGGGGATCAGGGAGCATCTCCAGCGACGGAGCGGTTTTTTGCCGGGTTCATTGAGAATATTTTTTGGTTAATATGCAGCGATGTAATAGGTTTTACCCATCATATATTTATTAAATTTTGGTAATAACATAGCACCCTTCCCAACCAATATATTTTTAATGTTCCTTAGTCATTAACATTTACGCTAAAAGATCCTTGATATACACACCAAGCAGTTACCTAGATATTATAATTCCTGATATTTGTCTTTTTTAAGAAAAATACTGGCATTTGAAAACTCGTCAATTATAGAATGACTAAGCATGACACAAAGAACAATGGTGTGGACTGCTACCTGCGTTATATTATTATTTTTGCACATTTCAAGTTTTCTTAACTTATGAGCAGATTATATTTATGTAAAGCGCACCGACCAAGATTATGGGGCATAGTGCACATAAAAGCCGACTAGCAAGATTCTTGCATTTGTTCACGATTCACGTGTTTGCAGAGGTCTTTTTCTGCCCTCAACCCTTTTTTTTTTTCATGTTTTTTCCTCGACCAGCCTGTCGGCACTCAACCCCACGGAGAGGGAGGAAACATAATTTGTGCTCGAAGGATAATTATACGTATCTCACCGTCGGCCTGTTTAGATTTTTTTTTCAGGAGCCATGCATTTAACATAAATATCCATTCTTACTTTTGAAACTAAAAATTAAAAATTTATTGTCAGTTTTTTCTGACAAAAGCTCTATAAATTTTAATATCAAGTTTTCTTGAACAAATGAAAATCTTGAGGTAGATACAAGACTAGCTATTATTTGTTGTGAGTTAATCAAATGTTTTATCGTCACTTCGCGTTGTAGTTTAAAAAGAAGGAAAAAAAGACTTAAAAGTTTGAAGCTGAATCGCGCCATTTTGTGTGTAGATCAGCCTAAATCGTGCGAAGTACCCGTACTCAACTCCTGTCAGCGAAATGTTGTGATCTTCACACTTTCATAAGATAAGATAATATTTATTAGTACTTAATTGGCAATATAAAATTGAAAAACTTAAGTTTATGAATAAATATATATAAAAGATATACAAATATATTGAAGGTTTTACTCAGTATAGACCATTTGTTCCTTTTTCCCTCTTTAGTTCAAGGATACATTTAGTTAGATTGGAGAATTATAAGGTTAAGTTCTAAGGATCGATTTAGGTCAGTTTAGTTTAATTCATTTATTCATGCCGTTTAGTTGATAGGATCTATCGGGGAAAACCTGTAGTAGATTCCTAGCCTCTCTTATTGATCTCTTATTATTCAGCGATACGTTTTGTAGTCTCTTTTCTTTAACCTGCTAGCTATTGATAACCTAAGAGTTGGCTATAAGTAAAGTAAAATGAAATGAAATGAAATACATAAGAATGAAAAAATATATAAAGAAATAAATACGCTATATATGATAAAATCTATTAAAAATTTATTTAAGGATCAGCGTCCCAAGTCCTAATACAATAAGGTAAAAAGCTATTTTGAAAACGTTTGGTATTGCATTTCATCAGTGGAATAGACCTAGGGYATCTTAAAGCATACCTATGATGAAAAATATTTGGTAACAGGTCATGAATACGATCTGATTCAGAAAAAATAGAAGCATAAAATTTACGTGTGAGTAATTCCCTACGTTCATTTAAGAGTAACAAGACCAGGCTAATGCAAACGTTCATTATATGAGAAAATTGGTAAGATGATCTTAGTTGCTCTCCTTTGAATCTGTTCGACTTGATCCCTTAGCTTTTGTATTAGCGAGGAATGCCACACTGGACATGCATACTCTAAGATAGGCCTGATGAACGTACAGTAAACTGAATATGCAGATAAGAGGACGGTACACCACTTAAACCCTATTTTAAGATGCATAAACCTCAATAGGAATTCTCAGTCAATTGATTTTGACACGAAAAGGGGTCTCAATCAAATTAAGAAAAAACCTGGCTGTGTACGTGATGGAAAAATGATTCAGTTCTCCTTTTAGCCGATCCACTGCTTCATTTTCGTATCATGCAGGAAGCCGTCGTACTGCGCGCATCACCAGTTTTTGAGAGCCATGCACTTACCACCGGACATTTACAGGGTGCGCATTCTATTTTTACAACTCTTGATTAGAACTTGTCTCAAGAGGGCAATATAATATATAAAAGCGTCATAAAAAAAAAAGACATCAACCTATTTTTAAAATATATATATGGCGCAATCCCTTTACTAAATATAACAAATCAATTCATTATCATCACAGACCACGAGGCACTTTGTACTTAAAACCTCATGGCGAAACGTCATGTTTGAAACAAACTCTACGCGTTTAATCCGAAATCCTTACACTCAATATCACCGTCCTCTGAAGAAAAAAACGTTTTTGAAATAATTAGATTAAGTAAGCTTGGATATAGTTGTAACTGTTGCATGAAATCAGTGAAAATAATGAAAGTAAACTTCGTGAAAACTTCCAAGTCAAAGCCTGACACAGCCTACCTTAATAATAGGAGAGACAAAATGCAATATAGTTTAATGATATCATGCAAACGATAGTAAGATGATAACTTAGCAAATTGAAGGTGGTAGCTGTAATGCTGATTGAAGGGGCTTTTCATAGCACAAACCAATTAAGCTACTTAAGTGACTTTCGAGCATAGATTTGCCAAGGAAACTTATGAAATACACCCACACAATGTTATAATCTCAACTCCAGTCTGCTAATGCGAAACTCAATTAATCAAGTATTCAGTAAGACTTTTTTTAATACTATACGCGCAATGACTTAAAAATGGTATTGAAATCGCATGTGCCGAAGATTCCATTTTTTCCCGTTAGCGTTTTCATTTTAGTTCGTTGGTTTCAGGCTGCACTCAAGTGTGATCATTACGTAAATGCACATGTGGAGTGAACCAATTATGTGTAAACTGACGTGCCGACGTCTAGACAAAGCTTACCGCACCCGGCGGCCCTTTTTTCATTCAACAAGAAATTACCGAGACTCTACACAGGCAGCCCAAACAAGGTTCCTGTGTATAAATACATGTCATAATAGAGTAATTATCCTTCCTTTGATATGTTGCATTTTTATTGCGGTTCGAGAGGAGAGAGAGATTTTTTGGATTTTCTAACGTGATGTAATCGATATCGGGTGCTAAGCCTCCAGCCTTCCATTATTTAGGTAGAGAAGAGCGGATTTTGAAAAAAAAACATCAAACGGCCTCAAATCGAGCTGAAACTTCGCCAGAAGACCGAACAAAGTAAAAGCAACAACTGCAGCAAGTTTTGAGGCAAATTGTTGAGTGAACCATTTTATTGTCATGACTTTATCATAACTCCCATACATTCCCTTATAAACAATACACATGAACCTTGTTTGGGCTGCCTGTGTTGGGGTATCGCTTTGGTCAGTTCACAGCTTTTACTGTCATTACATGAAGGAACTGGCGTTTCCATAGAGACAAGATTTTAATTTTGCCTCAATGCTCTAAATCCATACCAACAATAGTAACTAGGTAAATCTCAAAAGCTAAAATCGCTCACTCTTGAGAGATCTTTTCAACACTCGAAGATAAATTTCGTATCTCCGCGCGCCCATGTAATATCCTCAATATACACACATGTAATGTATGCGGTGCATATATACACTCAAAAATATCCATTTCATCTTGAAACTATTAGCAAGGTTTTAGTCTAACTGGGTTTTTGGTAAGTTGGCAATAATGCCCGAATAATATTTTATCGAGAGATTGTGGTTGTTATGGCAATCAATCTTATTATTATAGCAATAATTATACTGCCTGCCCCGGGACAGAATAGAATAAGCACAACTTAGGTCTGAATGAATACACGACTCGGCGGATGGATGGATTAATTAATTGATAGATAAATAAATAAATGACTGTGCTTGAATGAGTAAATGAATAGCTGCGAGACTATGATAACAAAATGAATAAATCGTTGGGTATAGGTGGATGGATGGGTAGATGGGTTTTCGATGGATCAAATGGACAAATAAATATATCTAACGATATAACGAGACAATGTTTTATCTAGCACCAAAAAATGACAATATAAACATTACAAGATATAAATGAGAAAAAACGTCTTTTAGTTTAAAGGCTGACTGACTGACTGGCTCTGACTGGCTGACTACGTACCATAATAAAAAATGGGTGGAGCGCATGCAGTGGATAGTGTACTCAATAGTTATTTCTTCATCTCTTAAAGGGTACGCCTCGTGCGTATCTTCAGATAGCGTCCTTCCTGCTTAACAGTTTTCCGTGCATGTGCATCCAGAACTTGATATACGGACGCTAAGAACTGATTTGATCCCTTAAATGAGCAAAAAGAGTAATAATAATTGAATAAATAGGAAACAACTAACTAAAATGTAGAAACACGTGCCAAATACTGGCCACTCCTATCCTTTACGGACTTAAGTACTCGTGTGGTGGAAGCGGTTCAATAGAAAATTTGTAGCTGAGCCAAAGAAAAGTAGTACTTGGAGACTAGAACCGGATCCAAACAATTGCAGAAGGCAACAGAAGTATTTATTTGGAAGTTTTTAGATTACATTCAGTTTCCTGTGATAGTATGGTCACATACATACGATTGAGTTAGATATGCTCTGTACCAGAGAAAGTAATACATCCGCAGTTGTATCCCGTGTTGAAATTCACTATGAATGCCGAAACAAGCGCTGGATAGTTTGCCGGATGACTTGGATATTGTATGTAAACTCGTGGAGCACGTTTTTGTTGCTTGGATTGTAATTTAGTACATATAAAACATGAAACCTTAAAGGTGGTAACCCTGTGGCACGGCTCTTTGTTATCTGTGACGAAAAACGATCTTTTGTTATTAATAGGGCATTCACAATCCGTACTGCTTCCTTGCTAACTACTAAGTACACAAAACAACGGACTTGGGTCCTCCACAAGATAAGAAATGATTTAAAAAGGACTTGAGTACGATACGTAGAAATTCTTTGCTTTCAACCAGTGCACAAAATAAACTGACCTGATTCACCAACGAGATAAGGCACAAATCTGTTTAGAGAAAACCAGAACACAGGGAAAATAAAACGCTTTTTTTTTTTCTTACCAAATTTTGTCTTGTCTTTCCAAACTTCAAAGACGCCGTCGGCCTGCTTCGAAGGATCTTGGTCAAAATTTTGTCAAATTTCAAAACTGTCAGTTTTCATGATATGTAACAGAACGAATGCAGTGAAAGCGGTAAAATCGAGGCATAAAGGTTATTGAGTAGCTGTTTGTCTTGAGTTTACCAAATTTTTACCAAGATTTGTACCGAGCTCAGAAGTAATCCGCTCTCTTTCGGCAGATAGTATTGAATTTTGATTGACATAAGCGGTTTGCGGTAGATTTTGGTTTCTCAGTAGTGCGAACACAACGGGCCAAACAGTTTTTGGCCGAACCAAAATTTGGTCATGACTTTTGTTTGGTCGAACAATTTTTTTCTTCCTAGTGCAAACAGGCACATATACATATCTCAATTCTATCCCGCTGTTAACGCAAGCCACACCTTCGTAATCGCAGGTAGCCACCAGCTGTCGTAGTGTTGCGAAATACTTTCTGTATATACACACATAAATTTATAATTTAATAAAATATCACTTTCTGTAATAAGACGAAATGCTCTCTTAATGCCTAAGCTATGCAGTTGAGCATAGGAATGATGAAATGGAGCTTTTTTTGCCAGGATTCGATGCGATCAGGCCAAAGAAATCAGCTCAAGGAACTTGCAACATATCCGGACATCAAGAAGTTCTATGTCTGAAAAATGAAGATTCTGCTTGTAAACCTTCATCTATTAGGCTATTCTTAGTCGTAAAAAGAATGTCCACATTTTCGGAAATATTGATTAAGATAGTCAACCGTAAATAGAAAGCTTAAGATCAAATGAGGAATAAAAGTTTCGTATTTCAAAACTCCCGAACCGCTATATAAAAGTCGATGGACGTTATTTTTTTAAAAAGCAGGACCTCCACTAGAATGACAGATTTTACACTTTTACTGTTCCCCTAAAGTATCCTTTTCAAGTGAGGATTGTTTTGATATTTTTGAGTACTGTTTTTTTGGTCATTAAAACGTACTGATACTATGTTGGACATCGTCGTCTAGGTCCTCCTTTGCGTCCATGCGCTATTACTGTCACGTAACGGTATTTTGAAATTGTACACCGTGTTGACAGAACGTGGCTTCCTTTTCCGGTTCTGTCGGACTTGAACTAGCCCAACCTCTTCCACTCCCCAATTGCTTTATGTGGGTAGCGAACTTTACAAATTATTTCGAAACTTTGATTTTTTGATCACATGAAGTAAATATCTCATGGATGGTTTATTTTGCCGTCAATGAATGTCATCTGTCACTCGGYATACTTAGGTTGCAAGTTCCGTGCTCCGGCGTTCAGTCGCTATCAACGGGGAATCAGGGTGAGCCCCGTCAAATGGACCAGAAGTGAACTTCTGGTGCCCAAGTAGCCACGGACTTGAAACTTGAAGCTTCGACGGAAGGACTTATAGCTAAAGTAGATTAAAGTGAACATTTACTGATGACAACAGCACACTCTTTCGCCTCCAGAAACCATTAGTTACCAGAAAGAAAAAAATTATCAATAAGCGTTAACTTGGGATACTTTATAGAATACTTATGAAAAAGGGTTTCCGTTTACTCCGTTCCTAAAGTGTTGGGCCTACACATACTACACATTACAGTTCCTGAATTAAACCACCTTTTACCAATAATATCAAAGGCATATTTATTGGCTAGTATCACGTAAAGTCTATTTTCCAATTTGGACCCTGGTTAGTGACCCATGGTAGTGAAAGTTTATCTTAATTTTTTAATATTTCTGTTTTGTCACATCAACGATCTACACTAGCTTGCATTGAACACACTACTTCAATCTTATAAGCCCTCTAACAGTCAGTCAGTAAGTATTGATCACTCACTGCCCGCTCACTGACACCACCGCATGCTAAAGTGCATCATACAAAACGTTTTCACGAATATATGGTATGCACTCTATATGAACTAGGTTATACCAAGAAATAGACAAAGTGAGTTAAATTTCAGGGCATCAGTCAATTGGCGGAAATCCGATCGTTTTCGAAGATTGCCGAAAGACAAGTCTTAGTAACCCAACTTAGCCATTGACTGACGAGTAGGTGCACGATTTCAATTGAGAAACAATGGAATTTGATATCTATCTCTTGTATTTGTCTTTGAAAGGTCGTTGGTTGTACAACTCACACCTCGAAGATAATTGATCGTGTGTAAGGGTTTACTAGTATTCTTAACCAACAGGTATCTGGAAAGTGAACATTACAATAGCCATTTTGAATTCGAAGGGTTTTCTATAGTTCTGTCCATACGTCACTGGAATGTTTATTTTGATATGTTAATGTGTTCATTATGACATCAAGTCAACCATGAATCCGACTAAACAATAGAACCGGTAGTCATTTACTTAACTTACGTCAAAGTATTGTATATGCATATCAGTGAGGCAATTGGTCTATTATACTTTGTACTATAAATATACTAAGCCTGTCTTTCAAAGTTAGTGTTATTCAAAAAATAGCTTTTATACCATGCATATACCAAACTCTTTATAAAATTCCTTTTGGGGCGTTTCGTAATTGTCTTTGACGCCAAGTTTTTACAAAATATCTTCAAGAGCCAGTTGAATGGAAAGCGGATATTGGCCGCTGTGCGTGTGTGTTAGATTGTGGTTTTGTACAGCAGAAGAATCTGAAAAGCTTTGACCTCAAACCGACCTCAGTGAGTGAGTCACGCTGTTAAACACAGATGGAGTTCGCGTGTAAAGTATGAAAGTATAAACCTAGTTGGTTGTTCTTTTCTTGCAAGTACGAGTGTCGATTGCGTTTTTCTCGTAAAATGTATTAAACAAACTTGTTTGATCAAAGATTATGTCAAAGATTATGTTTGTCTTTCTTGCTTGAATAGAAGGATGGCTAAAACGTTTTCCTTTCATCCAACTGTCAGTTTTTTTCAGGGACTTCAGAGCCGAAAGAAAATGAAAACTGTTGAGTTTATTGGGTGATCATCAAATGAGGCTTTTCGTTACTTGATCAGAATCAAGCAAAGGAAAGAAACAAAAGAAAAGAAAAAAAAACATCTAAACCAAATGATAGAAAAAAGAAAAATCGAGTCTTTTGTTCATCTAATATAAAGAGGTTTTCTTATGGTTTTGTACTGTTGTTTTTTATTTTGATCGCTCACTTTTCTTCTTTTTCTGTTCTGTTCTTACTGTACTGTGCTGTACTTTTATTTTTTCCTTTTCTTTTATTTCGTATTTCAGTAGAACGTAATAGAGTATAAATGCTTTATTGGGGTGACTGCAGGTGGCTCTGTTAAATTATAACTCATTTGTATGAAATGAAGCGCGGACGGTTAATCGATCGACAAAGTAAAGAAACTAAGAAGGAAGCGTCGACTGAAGTTATGGACCGTGTACAAATATTCGTACATATTTATAGTGAATACAAATACAAACATTTGTATAGATGTATAGTAAATGTATAGTATTAAATGTATAGTATTATTGATATAATAGAACACAACTGATTAATACAGAATTCTGCTCACAGCATATAAGTGCTACTGTGAATTATAATATAAATTGGTGATAATTATTTCTAATTCTTTTCCTTTTACATACATATCCAACTAGTTGTCTCTGTGAACACCTGCAGAGCTTGTTTAACTATAGGTTGCTCATTTATATTGGACGCAGTCTGATCATAACGTCATAACATTGTTAACTGATACTTGACGTTCACTAATGATTCCCTGAAGCCCTCATTAAAAAGAAACGCTCGCGAGCTATTATTACTAAAAGACATCCTCATATAACAGTAATTAACCATTAACACTCATGGATAAAAAATAATTAATGAAGCGTGAAATAAATTTAATATTCCGGAGTTTGACATTAAAGCTTTGATCAGTGTTCTAGACACGCGAAGGTAAAGGTTATTAGAGAGCTAGGCAATGTAATACATATCGTATAAAAATAAAATGTTCGAACTTTTTAGTATCGTATTTCCTGGGTGTACATACACTACGCTTGGTTCAGTACGAAGAGGGGAGGAGTGGGGTAGAATTTTTACTACCATCACAAAAAATTCAAAGCCCTCCGATTTTCTTGCTCTTTCTACAATTATAAGGTCCCCCTCTTTCCAAAAGAACATAAAATTATTGGACATTACGTGCCTGGTTTTTGATACGGATGTCGGTCAGCATATAATCGTCCGTTATTCGGAAACCCTTAGCGATTACGGCATCATTCAAGAGATAAAAAAACTTAGTGACTGATAACTAAAAAAATACATACACACAATAAAAAACAATATATATATATATATATATATATATATATATATATAAATACATGAATAAATACAAACTGCAGGAAGATCGGGGTTCTGATACCATAACGTTTTGCTGACCATATGATGTCAACTTTGTTCTCATGATCTAAGTACTGATAGAGCAGTGGACCATAGGCAGTGAACTTTATAGCGGCTATTACTGACTATGAAGATGACTGCACATTCACTTCATGATTCAATATATAGTCCAATGCACCTTAGACATGTTACACCGTATAACATATGTGATCCTATAACAATGTTGCAACGTGAAAATTACGAACTTTTTATTCCTTATTCTTTTTTATAAAGTTATATCTCTTCTTTTTATTCCCAAAAAATGTATTTTGAAATGAAACCAGCGCTACAGGTTTGAAAAACTACTTCTAAAAAAAAATAAGCCAGGGAAATTTTTTTTCGGTAGTCCTGGTTATTTATACCCTGGTCCCAGAGGCTCGACGAATTTTTCTCCCGGGCACGTATATTTGGATCCGCGAAGCGGCTAGCGAGTTGCGAAGCAGCGAGTCCACTTCGCGGCTCAAAATATACGTGGAGAAATATCGTCGGGCCTCTGGGACCAGGGTAGGTTATTTATCCTGGTTACACGAGCTTCAATTTTCACTATAATCAATCTTAACAACCATTACGTTGCATCCACCAAGTACTAAATAATGTTAACTCCTTGAAATATTTCACTTGTAGGTTCAATATTTTAAAAACATACAGTTTATCTGTAGTATATGTAGAATCACTTACACTTACAGACCTATGCCCGCTTTCCCTGATCGGTTTGAATTGAAACCCATGCATGTCCACATGTATCCTTCTCTAGAGCGCTTTTACCTCGGACATCATAAAAATTGTCGGTCTCGAGCAAAACAGTAACTTTGGTCGTCATTGGGTCAGTTTCAAAAGGTAGTTTTGGTTTGGTTTGGATTGTGCAAATAAACGTTCCGGAAGTTCTGTATACTCTTTTCTATTTTGGTTGTAGGAAATAATAACAGGGAAAAAGTAAGGGTCTGTGTCCAAATATGCCTAATATCTAATGCTTTTTCTTTCTTTGTCGATGTTTTGACTTATTTCCTGCCGATCTAAACCTTTTAGTCAAATATTGACAATAATTATACTAATATATTTGTGATTGAGGTTTCAATATTCGCAGGCTTGCTAACCGTGAAAAACCATTGAAGATTTCGCAACTGGCTCATTGTAAGGTCGTTGAGTTTAATTATGCGGCTGAGCTTCTACTCAGTGACGTATGTCGGCATAGATTGCGAAACCTCCAAATTAGGCGAGGCCCTTAGAGTCTGTGACCGTCACGTCATACCGTTCTTACGTATTGGTAACATTTCATTGATTTTCATGTCATTTAATACATAGTGCGCATGCGCCATGACCGCTACCGTCGTTCGCATTGCGAAACATAAACGTCTTAATTATGGGAGTGTTGGCTACGTCACTCTTTTGACCCACAAGTCAAACTTGTCTTGCTTTATCTTTGATGGTAATCAAAACCAGTCTTCCGGAAAAGCAGAGAGGGGGCCTAAAGAAAAGGATGTTGGCTGTTTCCTAAAACAAAGGATTTGTTACTTATGTTAATAAAGAAACAATATATATTTCGTTGAACTAAAGTCTAGTTTAACAGGAAAACTAGTCATGAGACCAAACAACGTAGTCAGGCTTGATGCATTTGATCTTTTCGGGCCTCAGAAATATAAAGAATTTGAAGATATAAAGTTTATCCATGTAGAATACTTCAATTCAATTTTTAACTGTGTCTGTTATGAAAGCTAGACACATGGATAAAGTTACAGATTAACAGGGCAAGCTAGAGGAAATAGAAATCTCCGGCAACCAATAGGAAACGTAAAATAGGCTCTAAGAAGTCACGACAGTCGCTAATAGAGCAGACCAAGCCAAAACTTCTTAGAAATGGAGCTAATTTTTATTGCAATTGCAATAAAAAAACTCTTGACAATTTAACTTAAAGATTTAGAATTGAAAATTTGATCTCACGCTAGTAGTCTTGGTGTGTCAGTATTGTGCCTTGTATTGCCCTCAGCCCCCGCACAAGACACGAAACCAAGTTGTGACCATCCAACCGGAAACGGATTGTCAAATCACGCAATGACGCGAGGTACAATGTAAGACACTTGATAACTTCCGCCCACACATTTATGTATAAAGTGCCCCGGAGCCGTGGCGAACGGCAGAAGTAGTTGTGGCTCTCCAGTCAAAGTAAACGTCTGAATTCTCATGAAAGCGTTAACGATACTATCAGATTGTAACATGATTGATCCAGACCTGGATAGGGAACTGTCACTAGCAAATGAATTTGTCCTGGAAGCTTTAAAAGCTGAGTCGGCAAACAATGAAATGGAATTTTCTTCTATATCCAGAAGCACCAAATCTAACTGCAGTGCGGGATTCGAGACTTATTGTGGCCGATGTTCTGAAAATGACTTGGGATGCTTTTTCCAGACCCGTAACGAGGACCAGAGCTTGAGCACGCTGGACTCAATGCCTCAACAACTCGAGGAAAAAGGTTTGTTTTTAAATTATACAATTTATGTTTAATCACTTTTATGAATTACAAGAAAGTTTTTTTTCCTTTTTTTTCCCTTCCATTTCTTTGTAATTATAATTTGTCCATGTATTGTTCCCGAACTTGCGCTGTAGTCTAAATAAGTTATGTTGTGCTTTAAACGATGTCATTTCCTTTATAACGGAAACTCAAGTTTCCATAGGTTACACAAAACTATTAGTAGGAAATAAAAAATACAGACTGCAATAAAAACATTTTTATTTATAAAAACTGTCACTAGAAACGAACATGAAGCTTGTCTTATTGTTCTTTTTATGATTCACTCGAGTTTTTTTTATAGCACGACACGTGATAAGCACCTGCTAGCTTGATCCAAAGAAATTATTTTGCCAAGCAAGCAACTCATTCGGTAGTTTCCGATATATAAGCTTCGGATATTGTTTAAAATTCTTAATTTTATTGATTTAAACATCTAGTTGTTTTTGATAATCATTTCTGTGCTTTTTTCTTGATGCATTAAACTTGACGGAACTTTGCATACCAACTCACCAATATCAATACTAATCTTTGATCAATAATTATACACCTCATGGTCAAGTGGCGCTGAGAGAAAAAAGACATTGTGATCAACCAATATGAAATCGTGTTAATGTGATAGAGATTTACCCTGTCCTAGTGTTTGGAGATAAATACTCGTGTTAAGTAAATCCTTTTTTTATTTCATTGATAATAAAAGATGTTTATATTCGACGGTGATTCTCATTCCCCCCCCTGCTATCTGATAATGAGCTCTCAACGCTGATTAGTGAGTAAACCGTTTACTTTCTATCTAATATAAATTCTTTGACGTAAACAGCGGGATGTTACTAAATAAAACCAATTATGCTACCTGTTTAACTCGTTCTAATAATGATTTCCAGTGCTTCTTTCCATCTACCACTTCAGCGACCTATTTTATTTGTTATTCGCTCGTTGTACTTGCTCATTTGCTCACCTGCGATTGACCCAGATGCCAAGTTAACTGGTTTCAATATGCATTCATTGGCTTAGACTCTAAAATTGAATTTGGCAAAGGTTTCTATCATTTTCTTGTTCTTCAAATTATGTTTTTGAATTATTGTGTAGAACATACTTCATTATACTTCACTACCTTGGTCACCTGTTTTTTTGCTCACGAAAACTTATGCCCTCCCACATGAAATGATTATCTCCATTATCTCTCATTAGGGCAATATTGAAACTGTTGTGTTTTTTTAAACACAGATAACGATTTTAATGGGTGTTAAAAAAAGCCACGTTGGCTTGCTTCTTGACTGAATAGTAGAAATGAATATTGGAGTACAGGAATAAACTAAGGCTCTCCCTTTTATCTTTTCCTTATGTTTCATATTTCTATTTTACGTGCTTTATTTCAGCCTTGTTCTCAGCTAAGGATCAGAAAAATTACCGTCTGGTTCCGGATATTTCTGTGGACCACGGTACAACAATTTATTATGAGGGTAACCCAAGTGACTCTTGCTCTTTCTGGGACAATACCTATTTTCCACGTCAAACCGTTAGCTGTCTGATCAAACGTGAAACATCAACAAGCTGTTATTTTACCCTGCCTAACATCATAGATGGCATGAACAAAATTGATTTGCTAGACCTAGACAGTTTTCATGCAATTTCAAATGACCTCCCCTATAATATCAAGGAAGAGCCCATGGAAGAGGACATTCGAGTTGACTTTCTCAATATCAAAGATGTATACTTCAAGCACGCTGAGGGAACCGAGGATTCTTTCCTTTGTGTATACGTGAAAACTGGTCGCAAAGTTAATGGTGTAAAGCTCTACCTGAAACAATTCCAAGATGGCTTGTCTGGACATTGTTCTCACGGTAAGTACCAGTCTTTTTTTAAATAAATCGATATATACATATATATATATATTCTTGTTCTCTAGGTAACAATGCTTTTGCTCACGAAACCCTAATTAGTACATGCAAATGAGCAAAAAAGCAACAACTGCAGGAATAATTTGCTTTGACTTTGACTATTAAAGAAAATTATTCATTATAGTTTGTTGTGATGCAAAATGGATTAAATGCTTCCTTCACATGGAAAGACAACCCGTCTCCCTGATCAATACCTTTAATTCTAACATGAATTCTTTGAAGTTTAAACTTGCTGTTTGTTTTCAAACTCAGGTCCAATTTGTCTCCCTTCTGAATATAACCGAAGAACAGGAATGCTATCTGTAGACTTAAAGTGCTTGTCTCAGTGCTTGCCTCCAAGTTCTGAAACAACAGACTGTCTGAAAAACACCTCATCTTTCTGGCAATTTATTGCCAAGGTACAATTAGAAGACGGTAGATCTGTTTGCCACTTTTCAAAGTCATTCCAGATCCGAAGAAATATCCAAGAATATGGTAAGTTTTATTTTAGGTATTCAGTCAGCCAATTTATTCAAGTACTGATGCATAATAAGTTTGATTAAATAAGTTTAAATTCAAGGAGCAATCTTTGCAAAAAATTCGAAAGTTCAAGCCAAGAAAAGGATGATAGAAAAACAAATACTCAGGTTCTGCCAGTAAACTAAAATACTATAAACAGTGGGGCTCATAAAGGAGCTTTCTATAGACGGAAATGCTCATTTCCTAATACACTGATAGGTTGTCCTTATCGCTCTATAGAGATTTTTCATTGATTCATAGATTCTTTACTTATGTCTTGATATGCCCAATACCGCTTTCCTACGAATTTAAAAGAAAACGTAAACTGAGAACGAAAGAAAGTCGACATCATACTGTAGATCTATCCAACATGGCCGCTCTGGATGGCACAGTTGGGCTTCAGTGAGCGTATATACAAGATGAGATTATTACAAGATATATTTTTCTTACATCTTGCACGATCTTTCTGCAAAATCATTTTCTATAGATGCGCCAACTTTTGAATGCTTTACTTCTTGGTTTTCCGGTTAGTGAACGAGAGGTTTGTGTTTCGGATCGAGTCAGTTTTATCCATAAAGTGTATTTGATTTGATTTCACCAATAGTTTTTGATTTTGTATAGGTATAAACGTCTAAAATCACTTAAAGTGGCTAAACTAGGTTTCTTTTTAGTATATGAGAAYATATATATTCAGTAAATGTATTTATACTTATCACAGATGTATTCATGTATTTTTATATGCACGCATATGGAAATATGTTACTACTTCCTTAGAAATGCACTATATGTTGGTAACCTAGTCAGTACGCGAGGATAAGTAAAAAATCGCATATCCTGATGTTCGTCATAAAGCTTTAATACTAATCACGTACAATATTTTCAACAGAAGATGAAAAAGGCTTCAAAACAAAACTGAGGCAGATTCCAATATCTCGTATGGATGCCAGCTCAATCTGCTTGTCGTCGAGCCTTTACTCTTCGAATATTGAAGGTATGTATTTTCATTTTTTGTTCTCGTTCTAGTTATCTTTTTTTATTATTTTAAATTTTGTTATTTAAACACATTCTGCTAATGACCATTGTTAATACCCTAGGGATAATAGTTTGTTATTGTCCTTTTAATGATCTCTTTATTTTTTTCAATTTCTCGGTATCTATAACCAGCAAAAAAACCATATATTCATGTGTTTCGTTTCTTCTAGAGTTATCCGATTCAATGCCAAAGTCCTGTGCTTTAGAAAGCATTCGAAACAGCAAATTCAAGCCCTTCCCATGTCAAGACAGCGTGTTCTCTGACGATACAACGTCAAAAGGTGTTTTGGATTATGGAACAAAGAAGATAGCATTAGCGCCTGGAAGCACACTTGACAAAAGTGTGGTAAGTTAATGTGTTTAGTAAACATCAGTATGAAGTACATGTACACACAAACTCCATACAAAATGCCCTTTTTCATGCACTCCCCAGGTTATACAAATTGGGTTATTTTTGCCAAAGCGGGCGCTCTCTTGCTCTTGGCCCCTTGTTCCATATACAAAGAGTTAAAATGAATTACCTGGTTAACTAAGAAAACCGAAAAACGTTCTTTAACTTTTATCGGACCCTAGAAACAATTATCTCTGGACTTATGAAATTCAGGTCACGGCTAGCTTATGAGATTGATTTAGAACTTACGAAACATGTTGAGCTTTGTCAGTTGAGGGGGGAAAAGAAGGCTTCTTAGGTTCATGGGCAGGCGAAAGGGGGGTGTTGGCGCCTGATACTAAATTCATTGCTTTCAATTATTATCTTCTTAGATATCGACAAAAATCCAAGACCAAAACGATATCGTCTCAATCCAAGAGCAAGCCAACTTTGCAGGACTGTTAAAAGTCATGAAGACCAACCACCTTCAAGAAACCAGTCGAAGAAAAGCTAACGGGTATCGATCTGCCGAAGAAGCCTTCGTGTGGGCCTGTGGATACTGCTTCTTTAGCAGAGGAAAGAAATCAACAGTCAAGTCTCATGTCAGTCGGCAAGTATGCCAAAAGAGAAGACGAATGCTATCAGAATGCAGCATAAGGCAAGAAAAGACAGTGAAACCAAAGTTTCGACGATGTCATACTTTCAGTGGTATTCAAAGTAAACCGATGAGAAACTACTCCCTTAAGCGCTGCAAAACGCCATGATAGACTAAGAAGTTTATAGAAGCATGTTTATATTTAAATACCTTGTATATAGTTTTGTACAGTTATGTAAATGCTTTTCAAAAATGTATGTCGTTCTTAAAAACTTAAGGATCACTTAATTTGACTCGGAGGAACATGTATGTGAGATTAACTGAAGTTAAAATCCTTGATCTATTTCTGAACGAAATCAGTTTTAGGTTTTGCATTTTTAAGCTTTATATAGCACTTCTCCACTTCCCTGAAATGTGCCTTGTATTTAGGATTATGTTGCTTTGCTATAAAGATTGTAAGTTAAACCCAGGGTGTTTTCAGTTGAAACAAGCCATCGTGTATATATGAAAGTATGTAGTACTTAAGAGATAGTTATTGATGGCACGCAATAGCAATTAACAAAGCAATATTCTCTGAACCATAAAAAAATCGTATCAGAGGAAAGTGTTTTGGTTTTCATGTATCAAATATCTTTTTTATTGTAAATAATTGTACAGTTTTGATGAAAAAATACCATTGCAAAAATAAACTTATTTCAAAGTCTTCTGAAGTTTATGAGTCCATATCCCAACATTACTAAGAACATCAATTCCCACAAGAACATCAACTCCCGCAAAGAACATATAATTTTCAAGAATTATTCCTAACTATATGCGAGTCTCACAAATAAGATAATTTTTTTATTTCAAGCTATTTTTCTCTCTTATTCTTTGAAGTTACACACACAATAAAAAAACAGTATTTCATCATGGTTCGGACTAGACCGGTTTTGACGGAGTCGTGACTCTGATAAGCCAACGAAATGGATATTTTTTCGTCAGAAAAACGAGCCAACAAATAATTCGCTTTATTTATTGTGAAAGAATCACGCAATGGTTTGGACATTTTATTTAACTATAAAAGGCAATCTTTCTCTCACGTTTTCCCCCGGAAAGACTACGCAATGCATAACCAGCGCTGTTCAAACATGTTTTATGTACAACGTTATCGGTCCTGACCGATTATTGCAAAATCATACAGGAAAAGTATTAGGGATTCCGAACTACGCTATCCGTTCTAGATTGACTAACACACATTTTATGCTAGCAAATATTAGTCTTTCATAAACCCATTTAAGGAGCGATTTTTTTTGTCCTTTTAATCTCTAAAAATAGCAAAACTACTTTTAAAATGAGTACAAGATAAGAGAGAAGAGGGTGTTTCTTTGGGGTAGTTTAAACTCTGCAATTAGCTTAAGGTGAGTGTAAAACTCGCAAAACTCTCGTACAAATCTAATATTGTTTGTTTGATTCCACAACGAGAGGTCTTTGTTACTCGTTGGAAACAATTCTTTCATGATACAGCACTATGCCCATCGAGTCTTTGTCTATCTTTGGAAAGTTTGACGCATCCAGCTGGTCGTATTATAATTGACGCAATTAGAAGTCATTTGGCTTTACTTTTATTTAAAATTCAAACTTTTTTTGAACATCATGTTTAAAGATGTGAATTGTTTTTCGTCAAGCTACTCTTTTTCTCGGAAAAAAACTGATCCGCACTCCAAGCGGAGGCCGTCGTGACGGATTCGAATCCCGAGTGGAGTTCAGAATTGTTTCCGAGAAAAAATAGCTTGATCAAACATTCACATTTTCAATCTTTACCAAGCACACACACAAAAACTTTCCCTTAACATCTCTCTAAAGCATCTCCGTTTTTCTTGAACATCGAAGTCTTTAAGTACAACTTACAGATCGTTTACTCAATCATGGTTTCTAACACTTCGTACCACATTGATACAAAATGTCATTTCCTGAGAATAACTATATTATTTTGACAGTTACATCCTTTGATTTTGAGTTCCCTGTTCCAATGAATGTCGTTCTGATTTCTGCGTTTCTTAAACCCTTGCTATTGTACCTTCGAAGTTCGTGCAAGCTAAGACAATAGCTAGGTGACAACTAATATTGATGTACGAAATGTGAAGTTCTTTTGTTTTCTATAATTATCACAGCAAGCATGTTTAACGTCTTGTATTTTACCGGCCTTGACTCAAGCGAAGTAAAAGAAGCACGGCAAGGCAAAAGAATCAGTGTTAAGGGAAGTTATATGCACGTTTTTACTGAACAAAAGCAATTCCCATTCCGTACAGACGTTGTTGTCATCTATTGTTTTATCTTGCACATGTTTGCACTAAAAAGATTTATCGAGAAAACACTTGAAACAGTCACTGGCATTTCCCCCACGCTTTTTTTTCTATTTATTTTAATACGACATATTTTGGCTGTTCATATACATACAGAATATTATCAAACGTAAATGAAGGATTCTGTAGACGATTTGCACGATAGTTAAACCTGTTTACGTTGCTAACCAAACGACCCTCATTTCTGGGTTTAGTTTGTTTTTTTGTTAATCGTTGAGTTATTGTTAAGTGGTTGCAAATTTTAATACGATGTATAAATAAGATGTAAGATTTTCTCCCAAACGAGCAAAAGACCAATGGTTTTTAACATGAGTAAATCAAAGAATGCTTAAAAGTTAAAAGAACAGAAGCCTTTAAACAAATGAACACAAAAAGATTTTCCACGCGAGAAGCATAAATAGTGCTAAACAAGGCACATCACGTTAGAACTTCAAGTGTCGCTTTTTAAACAGGTAAAAACTATAATTACTGTTTTTGAAGCCACATTTAATTCTGTTATTACATATAACTGGTATCTTACATTCACACGTTTTTCTGCTTTCCATAAGTCTTTTATCACAAACACAGGTTTCTATCTTATAAACGTAAATTTATATCTATTAATTTGCCCAGCTTTTTATAACGTGTTTTCGTAGTCTAAATATAACGATAGATTCCTGATCCGCAATCGAAGCGTAGGTTAATTCCTGTTCCAGCATGTTTCTGTAAGTTGGCTCTTCGCCGTAACCAAAAAAATTTTCAACTTCTATGAAAAGTGTTATGTTGTGTACGACTTATCGTTGACATCAATCAACATTACAATGAGTGCTGATCGATATTGGTCGACTAGTTGCCATTAATTTTTAAAAATAGCTTTATTTTCTTTGAATTTGCTATAGTAACTAGAAATGCAATTTAACAAGTCTAGAAATATGCTTAGATAAGCAGGTGGTACTCTAACACTTAACACGCGTTTTTTATTTGTCATTAGTTCACATACAATATATTGAAAAAAATGTCATTTGCTTTTTCAAATTCAAGTATATTATTCATACATACAGGTAAAAAGACAAGTGCTGTCAACTATCAAAACAAAATCGAATTCTCAAACTGCCAAAAAGGCGTCGTATATTTTTTGATCTTAATTTGAAGAAAACAAGTCGTTTGCCACTTATAGTCTTCTTCACGCGTTCTTCTGCTATATTGAAAAAAATAATAGTGATAATGACCATCAAAACGAGACGAACGGTGAGTCACATATTTACAAACAAAACAAAACTGAACGGAAGGGTTGAAAATGAAAACTGAAAAGCCTTTATGACATCCGCTTAGATTATAGAAGACACTGCGATGTCTCAACAGAACAAGAAACAACTCACCGTTTATCTCGTTTTGATGTCATTTTCATAATTTATTCAAGAGGAACGCGTGAACAGGTATCAGCTAGTATTATATCAGGGAATAGAGTTACATGAGATGTACTTGTCCTCAGAACGTTGACCTCTGTCGGAAGGCTAACACATAAAATAGAATTGAGATTCTGCCAACATGGATAGGATCCTTATAATCCAAGACAAAATATATAAACAGAATGAAAAGTAATTTAAAAAACCATGGACCTATTATGCTATATTTCCAGTGTGGGGCCAAAAGACTGAAAAACATTTACTTAAGAAAACTTTTCAAATCCCAAAAAGGTACTTCTTTTGTCTTGGCACTCGCCTCCTCCCGTAGGGCCAAAGGCAGACACAATTAATGATCCTGTCGAATGGCAAGGATCGATGATTACTATTGATATTATGGATTTAGGATCTACTAGCAAATCTGCTTTTTGGAAGTAGGTAAACGTGCAGCTCAAATTGACGTTGAATACATAACTTACAGCCGCAAGGCAAATACTATATGTCTAATTTGTTTTTCTCTAGTGTGCAGACGAGCTATACATTGCATGACAAAAAGAACCGCATACAAACTTAGCCAATTGAAGTCTACTAGCTTCCACTATTTGTTTATTATATCTGGTTAAGTTTATTAGAACAGAATGAATTCTGCTTGGCAAGTTTGTCCCATTTTCAAGCCACATGTTCATTCCCTCGGGCGATGAACAACACAGTTGAGAAAATGCTATGCATCACTGAATCTGAACATTTAAAAGTTTAGTTGTGTAAACTTGTTTTGACACAAAACTTTTTTGTCTAATCTTGTTTTCACACATTTTTTGCAGGTCATTGATTTATTGATGGGTAATGGAAAGTATCGCATTACAACCTATACAATATACTTTAAATCAAATGTGGTACTGATGTATCGTAAAAGGGTTCCAATCACCCTATAAATCATTCATGAAAAAGGCAGGATCAGTGCTTGAAAACAGTAGTGATACTAATATGACTAATGAGAATCCTGAAGCAAAAGCAAATAATTTTTTTACCAGTCTTTAATGTTGCTGTCTCTTTTCGATGCGATGCATACTTTTTTTCTTCTTTTTCTTCTACACATGCCTTTTGACAGATTTTTATTAGAAAAATTTAATTCCAATCAATACAGACCTATTTTACTGACTCACAACCCCTGGCAATGCGCCCTTGATAGCTGCCAAACTGATGCTGGACATAGTTGTTTCGAATCAGGGGTGCATGGCATTGCGGTTGTACCGACTCGAGCTCGTCAGTCTGAGGTCTCAGATTATTTTATTTTATTTATTTAAACATATTCTACACATATTAGCCCCAAAAAGCAAAGCTCGTGGACGGGGTCTATATATCTATTTGCTCACGCAAAATTACATGGAGTACAAAAGACAAAAAAAGAAGAACAAACTAACTAACACATGAGCAAAATGATAAAACTGAAGCAAAAAGAATTTAATAAGAAAAATCATTAAATGAATACAATAAAATAAACTATGACAAAGAAAAACGACCAGACGTCTCAGATTCCTGGAGTCGACTCGCATGCGAATAGAGTTTGTTAGGCCTTTTCCTTGATTCGATCCAGGGTTTTTCTCCCGGTTTTATGGTTTTCCTCCGCAGACAAAAAAAAAAAAAAAAACGTTCCTTAATTGGCGTTTACAGCCCAAAGGGTGTTCCACGACGTCTCGATTCGAAGATTCGATTTTTTACTAAGTTTGGAAATACATATATATTTCTTGACATTGAAATAGTGTATGTGCCAAATGCTTTGATACCGCGCGTGACAATATGTCGAGTCACTTCACCGCGTGACACTTCTACATCGCACATATCTTGCAAGTCTCGTCTCCTTAATTTTCGCGGGCATTGTTCGCGCGCATCCTTTCTACGCATAAATTTAGTGCGCTAGTGCTCAATCTCGTACCCAGAGCCTGCGTTTCTTCCTGCGGCGAAGAACGAGGGCTCTAGCATAATCCATATTTTGGCGCATGCGCAATTTTCGGAAAGTGAGATATAATCGATCAAAGTGATCAAAGAAAAAATGGATTATGCCAGAGTCCTCGTTCTTCGCCGCAGGCTCTGGGTACGAGATTGGCTAGTGCTCGTTAGTCTTAATTTCGTTATTCCAATCGGTTTTGTTAAGCTGCAGAATACTCAACAAAACCTCTTTAAGCTATTATATCTCTTCAAAACGGTGACCCTCATTTTTATTTTATACATTTAACGGAAGATGTAATGTAAATTTATTGAGTTATTAAAAAAAAGATTTATTTCTCGACCCTCGAGAACTACTACATGTACAAAAAGCGATAGTTTAGTTCGAAATGTAAATTTAGTTCGATTTTCCCTTGAGAAAGAGTGTTAGTTTTAATGCCTCACTAAGAAAAGAACAATTTTGGAAATCGTTTATTAGCTACGAATACATTGGAATATCTTTCCCCCCAATAATTGTTAATTTTTGACCGCAATGAGTCTTGATGACTGGCTGATAATGGGTGCCTAAATGATCGGCATTTTACTCACCGGATTACACTAGTAACCCCTTTTCTTAGGCTTATTTTGTTTGCCTTATGTTGTTTAATCGACTGGCAAAGTTTCAGAAAATTGACATGATTTACTTGGCATTTGCCCGCGAACGTCCTTAAGCCGGCAGGCTTTTGCAGCGTTCGATTTGTGGGTCGCATTAAAAAAACTTACTGGCCGCCGAATTGCTTTAAAAGTTTTATTAGAAACTTCGATAGGATAAAACCTTTAAACCTTACATGGGAACTGTTTATTTAAATTTCTTCAACAGACAAAAAGCAATCTTTTGTGAATCATTGAAAAAGACAACTGTATGTTATTGTTATCGTTTGAAAACGGGTTGCGATATAAAATTGGTTTTTCGCTGCTGTCAATCAAAACTAATCAATCGGTACCTTTTATTTTGACTGGCGTCAATGAAAAATTACTACCGAATTTATTCCAAGATTGATTTCCTTTATTTTTCTTTCAAAACTTGTCAATATGGGAGTATTCAAAATTTATTATATCGAAAAGTAGTTAGGGACACCCCATTTTTYCCTTTGTTTTGTGAAATTCTGTATTGAAAATAGCCTTCTTACAACATGTTTTCTAGTTGCTTTTTGCTACAGTTGTCAGCTACCTTACATTTAATTATTTATCAATCAGTTATTTTCAAACAAAAATTTATAGGTAGCTTTTTTTGTTAATCTATATATTTTTAAACGTAATCAAATAGAGGTAGATATGTATGTACTCTAAGCCATCATCCTTATCACATTGCCTCAAGGTTCAATTATAAGACACTTTAGATATATGTGGCTCATTTCAATTCGTTCTAATTTAAAAATTGGTTATTAATTTTTACATATTCCATTCCCTTTAAGGAGGCCTTGGCAACGAAAAAAGATAGCAACACTAGTGTGGAACCATGCATGGAAACGAAGTAACTTAAATACTGATGAATAAGAGCCTACTGGTTAGTATATGTGTGTAGGGGAGAGTGTATAGTAGCATGGGCGGAAATTTGGTAAGAAATAGATTCTACTCTTCAGCTTTTTTATTCTTTTCTTCTTTTTTGTTGTGTCAGTTTAATTTTTCATCCTTTTGACTTTTTGCCCAAGGCAGGCATCAGTTTCGATTTTAGCTTTCCAATTTGCCGAATGTTAGCAGAAACTAATAAAATAGATAATGAAATCACAATAGATGTCGGTTGGTTTTTCTGGACGGGAGAAAAGCTTTTCAATAGTTAATTACAATGAAAGTTCTGTGTCTAGCCTTATGCAGCACAAGGAGCGAAGAGAATAAGTTAGTAAGTTTGAATAAACAAACTAGTCTGCTCACATACAACCAGTTCAGGGATTGATTCTCATTCTGGGGCCCATTGGTGAGGGATTAACACTAATCCATAGTTCTCATAAAAGGCAACTTATTTTTTAAAACATAAATCACAACAATAACAAAAGCACCTGTTCTTTAACCCATACCATGACCATAGCAACACCCCCCCCCCCCCCGGGAGATATCGATGAAATACCAGGTTTTCACTAGTGTCGAAAACTTGATATCTTTCACTCGTTCTTAAACGGAACATTACATGGGCGCGCGGATATACGAATTTTATCTTCAAGTGTTCAATTGATATCTCACGAGTGAGCGCAGCGAACGAGTGAGACATCTAAATTGAACACGAGAAGATAAAATTCGTATCTCTGCGCGCCCATGTAATATCCTCTATATATCTTCTGCTATAATTATAATCTGTTATTCATAATTAGGCAGTTGCACATCACAGCTTTTTGGGAAGCATGGGCGCCTTAGCGGCGAGAGGACTTGCCTCTCACCAATGCGACACAATTGTGTCCGAGACTAAACTGAATTTGTGTACTCTTATGTTTTCTGGCAAAAATACAAATCTTTCCTTCGTATTCCAATCTAAAAGGAAACTACGTTGTAAATCTGTGTGTATATAGGCAGCGTGCTACTCGTTCTCAGATTTCAGATCAGTTTCAGATGTACGACCGACAACGTTTTTGGAAATAGGTTTATAGATATAACAAAGAATCGCCCCATGTAAGGGAATCCGGAATCCAGAATCCACGAAAGTTTAAGCTTTGGAATCCGGAATCCAGCACTCTGAAATCCGGAATCCAGTTAATAATGCAATCCGGAATCCAGTTTATGATGGAATCCGGAATCCACCCATTTGGAATCCAGAATCCGCACCAAAAGTTTTTGAATCCGGAATTCAGACCCTTGGAATCCGAAATCCATAGTTTCGGATTCCCTTATACATGGGGCRAAACGAAAATGCCACACAATACGCCCAGGCTAAAGAAGTGTGTAATATATTTATTATAATATATCTATGATATATATAATAAAATGATGCCAAGCTGAAGCATGCTGAGTTAATTTATAATAAAATAATTGAATTCAACTATCAAGGATACTTTGTTATTTTTTATTTTTTGCTCGATAAATCTATCTACCAGTGATAAAACAGTTTTTGATTTACATTTGTTTACTTTCATTTACATATTTTTTAGAAAGCTTGTTTTTGTATGAATTCAATTGCTTTTCGGACAACGCCTAATAATAATAATAATAATTTTTATTAAAAAAAGAAAGACACATCGTTGGATGTCAGAGGCTTCACGAGCGTCCCTCGCCCCGTCCGAACTCGATAGCGCTCATATAATACTAGTAAAATGCAAAATATTTAGTGACTTCCGCGTCATAGATAAGGCGCCCTGCACCAGACTCGATCACGGACTGGTGTAACTATTAATATATATCATTGGATTACGATCAACACAAACTATATACAAATAATTTGCCCGATTCTCAGAACGGGCGACGCTATACAGTTCAGCCACCATTTGCAACACCGTGTGTTTCAAGAGAAGAAGAAGAAGAAGAAATACAAACCGGGATATCTTCTAGACCTTTCCCAAATTGCCTCGATGGCCGGTATTTTAGAATTATGAAATATATATATATGGGAGGCAACCCACACTGAATTTGTGGTATTCATTTATGGATGTATTCAACTGTGTCTGCAAATGACTGCATCGAGAGGAGGTGAAAGCTATGCAGCTTGTCCCTGAGGAAGTAAGGAAACTTCAGAGATGGGAATTGTACCTAATGAAGGCTGTTTCATTGTTATTTATACCTCGAAGAATTTGAAGTCATTTGGTTTTACTCCAAGAATTGACCAAGAGTTCACCAAGATTCTCCTATAGCTCGCTGGTAGAGCATTCTACTCGGGTTTTTTTCGAGTTCCCTTACCTTCGTTATGACACGCTGAATAATTTTCATCTTCACAATATTTATTTTAGCACTGTTTAATTTTGGTTTTTGAATTCACTTTCTGGGTGGCAGTGAAATGATTGTGGAAAGGTGCTCACGCTTATATAAGGCTTCCAGTGATTAAAGGGTACGTCCGTGTAGTAATAGACATTTGTACAGTTTTGATTAATGGCAAACACAAGTGGACCACCAACTTCTTTCTTTGGATCCAAATTTAGTGCAGAATAGAGTCTTGTTCCTCCGTATGAACAACGGTCCAGGTTTAGATAGTAGTGAACTTTTGTTACGTTGACTACATGAAAAAAGACAAGAATACCAGAAGTCATTTTAGCAAACAGCTTTGACGTCCTTATGGCAGCAACAAAATTATTTTCCTTTGTTGCTGTTTTCGTAACACGCCGATTGTTTTACGAGATAGGGTTGTTAGCCCTGTGCCCAACTAACTCCCTAACATGGAGGACCTTTGACGTTTATATTTTATTCCTTATTTTGGACAAAAAAAAAAAAAAAAAAAAAAAAAAAAAAAGAGGAATTGTTTGGAAAACTCTTTGATATTCAAAAAAATGGTTCTATGCATGGCTTATACTGATGGGCTTCCTGTGGAATTGGCAGGAATATACGCGCTTGCCGTGGCACTCCCCACTCGCCCCTGTAATAAGCTCATAATCAATAGAGTAGACCCATCAAAGGATTTTGACTGTTTTGAGTGTTGTGAGCTTTGAGGATGTTTTGTTTACACCTTTACCACGCCCTTAAAAATCGATCCTTTTAGTGCGATCATGGATCAAAGGCTAAACATATTAACGCGACTCAACTGTCGAGTTGTGGAAATATCTATCGCTTTGATTGGTGGGAGCCAAAACGCCAGACGTCTTGAGTCAGGTCGCAGAAGCATGAAACGGGTTGTAGTAAGGAATGGCACAATACTTACGTCTGGACATGTTCAAAGGAGGGACCTGGTCAATAATTGGAGCAATTTTCTTTTGAAGTGTTTCCCAAGAAGGAAACTCGATGCCTCGAACATTGTAAGCCTGAATAAGAAAGCAAAAAAGAATGAACTTAAATGACGAATGGATCGCTTCTCATGAGAATAAAAGGATCAAGAAATGGCAGCCACATGTTGGTTGTTGGCATGCATAAAGAAACCAAGACTGTTAAAGTCAACCAACTCATGCCAGTACGAGTTGCAAATATCTTATAATGGCACATTTTGTCGCTATTGGTCTATTTCTTTCTTTCTTTTTTCTTTTTTTTTTTTAAAAAAAAGATGATCATGGGATTTTCATCATGACAAATGCCAGCAACCATGTTGCATGTCAGAATGCCTTTACTCCAAAAAATTCAATGTCTTCTCTTGATGCCATTCAAGATTGGCGCCTGATGATAGGTGCACGCAAAACCTTTATTTTAACTTAGAGTGCCGTTTCATGACTTACCCTGATGCCATCAGGTGTGTATTTAAACGTTGCAGTATGATGTTTCAAGCTGTGTCTCTCACAGAAGTACACTCTCAAAGCCGATCCAGGCCAGTAGAGTTCAAAGCACAAAAAAGCTAAGGAGGCGAGGAACAAGCCCAGTACAAACAATACTGCAATCAAAACTAAAGTAGAAAAAAAGAACTTGATTGGATTTTCACGTTTACGTTTAGATAGGGTAATCCTACGTGCTAGACAGCGGTAGTACACCAGTCTCTCTGTGGTCTCGAGTTCGATTCCTGGACTTCCCATCATGCGAGTAGAGTTTGTAAGGTCTCTCTTTTGATTCCAGGGGTTTTTCTCCAGCTTTTCCAGCTTTCCTCCCTCAGCAGAACCTAAATTCCACTAAATTCCCGCTAAATTCCACTTTGATCTGGAATTCTTCCTGTCCCGACATAGAACAGCCCAGAGGTCGTTCCAGGGTGTCGATAAAATTTGATAAAATGCAAAATAAACTAGTGAAAAAATATATTCATAAGTCCTTACTTCGCTTGGCTCGTTTTCTTTCTTTCCTCAATCGGTTTGACAGTTGATACTCAAAGTGATCGTAAATGTCCTCTATTTCCATGTTTAGCTTCTTGTCTGTAACCCCCATCACAATGCAAACAAAACACTAAAAACAAGAACAGGTTATAATCTTAGATTCTTAGACTCAGATCAAACGTCGAACTTCACATGAGCCGAACCTAATGACATCAAAGACGACCGCCTTGTTGTCCATTGTTTTTTCGACGTTTGACCTGAGCCTTAGAGGTTTATAGTAAGGTATGAGAAACTAAACCTGGTTGGCTGGAGAGGGTTGTTATGGTTGTCCAAGGGCGGATCCAGGGTTTTTTTGAAAAAGGGGTCTCAGGGGTAAATTTTGTGGGCAAAGGAATCCCAGTCGCATTTTTACCACAGGAAGCCCATTTGACCTCAGGAATGACAGGGGGGTCGCGACCCCCCCGACCCTCCCCCTGGATCCGCCCTTGTTGTCCACATACAACAATATAACCTTCAAATTGTATCGATACCCTGAAACAAACTCTTAGCTTTGCAAAGTCAGGGTAACTCATCAAATTGAAATTTGTTTTTTCCCCCAGGGTTTTGCGGCGGGAGGAAAACTTGTATAGGCTTATGGAAAGATCTTTTTACCTTTACAAGATTTTCATCTCCAAACATCTTGGTTTTACGCTCCTCCAGTGCCATCCCAAGAAGTGTTCCACGACTAGACAGTACAGCCCCAGAGGGGAGGTGTGACTCTGCTATGGCTGTACCTGGTTTACTTTTTTCTAAGGATGAGTAGATCCTTTCCCCAGCGCGTACTGAACCAATGCATTTGACTTTGACGACTCCAATCACACAAATAATGTCTGTCTCCTCTGGAATATTGATAAACAAATTATGATTCAACAACAAGCAAAACCAGACCRTACCGCTATCGGTCAGAGGCTGTGCTGCAGAAGCTAGGTCCTTAGATGTTTCTCCTGCAAAAAGCTTTACTAGAGACGACAAACAAACTATATAATTGTCATTCGTATCATTATACATACTACGTGCCATTCCTAAAAGAATCGTTTATTTGTTTAATGGTTGCGCACAAGAAGACACATGAATATAGATACAACTCAAACAAAGAATGTTATTCTTTAGGGAATGACAGGTTGTCTGAATGGGAAAACATTGCACCACAACGAATAACGTCTATTGCAAGGGGACTCTTACGCTCAGGTCGAACGTCAAACTTCACATGAGGCGAACCTGATTGAAACAATGGACGACAAGGCGGTCTTATTTGATGTCATTAGGTTCAGATCATGTGAAGGTCGACGTTCGACCTTAGTCTTACCTTCTAGCAGAGACTGTTTAGCTTCGAGATAAGCAGACCTTGAAATCACCCCAGCCATGAATGCATCATCAGCATTCTCACTATCAAGGAGTTCGATAACTGCTTTCCCATTTTCATCTTTAAAGAATCCCACGACATCTCCTTCATCGTACTGCTCTGCTGCGTTTTGGTCTCTTAGCTTGAAGTGGTACCCAATATCTGCATTGCTTTGGCACTGCATAACTCTGCATGTCACGTGATCGAATGTTGCACGTTTGGCTTCAAGATGGTCTAAGACTTTGACATGATTGTATTCTGCACTTTTGTACTCTAGAAGGTAATTATAACATTAACGTCCTCAAACGAAGACCAATGTGAGAGTCGCATGCATCACCGAGTCACTGTGTTGGAAGGATATGAACTTCACGGACTAAGCTCTGTTCGATCTAGACTTCCCTACGTCCCTAGACTTCACAGTTTTCACTTTATCATTTCTCATGTAATGATGAATTCTTCAAAAATGGTCCTCTAATCTTAGACATGGCAAATTCATTTGATTCTACATACCCTAATATTAAAGATACTTAGCTAATACTTTTAAGGATGGACTTTCAATCCTCTCAATTTCTTTGACTTTTTTTAATCCGGCATTTTAAGAAGCCGCCCCAATACCAGGGGCGGCGGAAGCTGAAAAATTTTGGGGGGGCACTCCAATATTTCACGGTACCTTGAAATGACCCCCCCCCTCCCTGTTTAGCTTGATTACAAACGTGTATGTGTGATATTTCAATCAGTAACATTTTGCGCGCATTAAACCACTTGCAATTGTGCTGAGAGATACAAAAATGATGCAAGTCGTCGCTAGATATATCGTATCTTTTTTAGATACAGAAAATTATGTAATATCAAATAATAAATAATGGTAATCATAACCAAATCTCATGCGTTTTTTTTTTGTGTGTGAGGCATTATATTCTGGGGGGGGGGCAGGCCCCCCAAAAAATCTAGTGGGGGGCCAGTGCCCCCCCGGCCCCCCGCTTCCGCCGCCCCTGAATACTTCGATGTGAGAATGGGAAAGTAATGCATAGATATGAATTATTAGAGAATCATGAAAATGAAATTATAAGTATCTTTTAAGTATCTTTTTAAGTACTTTTACGTATCTTAAAAGTAATTTTTAACCTATTTCGACGACACAATATGTAAAAGAATAATCATGAATGAAGGCGGCCTGAAGGAAGTGAAATGTTGGATATATTATATACATACCAGTACTTGAGATAAAGTCTGCGCCAGGAGATGAGTTGCTGCTACTAGACACATCCAAGGATTCTATTATCATTGTTAAGAAAAAAAGTACTACTGTTAGAGTGAAGGCACTTCACCCGTGAAATAACTAAAACATGTTAGTCAACATGTAATAGTCAAATAGAAACACACACAAAAAAAATGGATTCTGGTCTACTAATGTGTATTAGTCTAATATTTATTTTACGGGTTTAATGACTTCACTCTAATATAGCTCTTTCTAAAATATGAGGCAGTGGCGGATCCAGGGGTGGGTCGAAGGGGTCCACGGAACCCCCTTGAAAATTTGATCTTTTAGGTAATAGAAATATGTATTATATAAATTTTGCTTAAAAGTATCCACAAAAATAATGTTGAACACGCAATGATAGATTTGCTGTTATAATGTTTAATTTACCTTTACGTTTCGTTACTAGATAGTAAATTAGGTGATTAGAGCCAATTTTTTTGTCAAACATCGACTAAACAAAAGAGAATTATACACAGTTTAAGAAACGGAACCCCCCTTTGAAAAATCCTGGATCCGCCACTGTGAGGTTCTATTTGATAATTTCACTACGTAATATTTATAAGCAAGTATATGTTTCATAAGAAAGATAGGTTTGTACAATTTTTAGATATACCTCCGCTGTCTTTACGAGGCCTTGAAGTATCAGGCGATTGTACGTCGCTTTCAGACTCTAGACAGATAGCAAATTTATGAAATGTGTTTTTGTCACTCGGTAAAGATCTATATGTTAAGTGTATGCTACATCGAGTGTATAAGCAGATTAAAAAATCTGCCTCAGTTGGGTTCTCGCGAGAACCCAACTGAGGCAGATTTTTTAATCTGCTAATACACTCGATGTAGCATACACTTAACATATAGATATCAAATTGTTTTTGTTAAATTCGTATTTAAAAAAACCTTTTAAGGCGATGTTACACGAGATGATCTTACGTGCAACATTTACAGAGAGTTGGCCTCGTGTAACATGGCTATCGCAGCCTTAAATCGATGAGAACAATGTTGTTAGTTGTGAAGGTCGTTCAAAAATCTCCATCATGTTGGTGCAAAATATTAAAAATCGTAACTTAGCGCCATGTTACACGAGGACAATATAAGTTGGGAATCGTCTCGTGTAGCTTATGTTAAGGCGGTGTATGATCATCATTATCGTCATCTTTATCAATCGTAATCATCATCGTCATCATCATGAGCAGCAGCAACTAGAACATCAGCCGCACCACCATCACGATCATTGTAACTAATGGCATTAGTTATGTTGTACCATCACCATTGTATAACGATCTTCATGAGTCCCCGTCATCGTTCGCCACCATCATGTCCATCATGATTATCATCACTATTTTCCAAGCGTATTACCGTCGTCACCATCGCCATCATCATCACRATCATTACTGGGTTTTTTTCCATATCAAGGAATACTGATGCTACTGACTTACCGAGTCTCGTTCTTTTTCTTGGTCTTGTCTTCATTAGGAAAGGGACACTAGTAAACTCCTGGTAACCCAACCCATCCACGTATTGAACCTGTATGGACACCTGGAACTTGTTTCTTGCTTCCATCTCCACTTTTGCCAACTCGTACACAGGTTTCTTGGGACCATCGTAAACCGAATCCAAGTCGACAGAAAAAAATTGCTGGGGCACAAAATATGCATTAAATATTTAGCTCTGGCAGCAAGGTAAGCCATCAAAACTTTTATTGTCTTACAGAGTATTAAAACATTTTCTTATTTAATTTTCTATGAAAAACTTTTATTCTTAAATAACAGTGGTAGCAATTTGGATCAATAAGGGACTGTTCATTAACTATGCCTCAGGGTGGGCTGGAGGAAAAATTGAAAAAAAACCTTGGAAAAATTCACAACCCCCCCCCACAATTCTATCTAAAAAAATTTTTTTGCCCCCCCCCCCTCCTTGTGACCTTTTAGACATACCTTAATTATTTGTTTCAACCCCCCTTTAAGTCAGCAAATACTATTAAAACCCCTCCTTCTTTGTGTGATTTTTTTCAAAGCCCCCCTACTTTTCCTCCAGCCTCCCCCCCAAGGCATAATTAATGAACAGTCCCTAACGTTATTAGCAAACACTTTATAGGCCTTTATAGACCCAAATTTTACCAAAACTATTACCAGACTATTAATACTGTTAAAAAGTGACAAGCCAAAAAAAAAGTCTCATTTCCTTTATGGGTTTTTGTTCTAAATGATGGTAGCGACTATGAGGTTACCCATCTCTTTCCCAATACTCATAAACCTTGATTTGAACCTTCTATAGAGCTGCAATATCGTATTTCAGAAAATTTAAAAGGAGGGTTTGAAATTAAAGAAAATTTTGTGTCTTGATGATTGCTTGGTATGAACCAGCTGAATTGCAGGCAATGTTGTTTGAGTAGGATAGTTTTCTACTTCAGCAACGTTGCGTGCAACAAATTGCGTCGTGTGTCGTGGCTCGCAACATCAATTGCCCTACTTCACTATGACGTCACATCAAAATAATATTCAACAATCTATTGTTTAAACGCAAAGGATCATGGTCGTCGGACGGGGTCAAATCCACGTAAACTAACCGAAAATTATGCTAAATCCCGTATAATTCCACGAAGAGAAGTAGAATAGCCAGCAAACGCTCAGAATATTTTTTAGTACATATTAACACACATTATATCTGAAAACCAGGCCATTTTAGATTAAACTGTTTCACTAGGAGCAAATTTAGTTGAATTTTCTATTGGATTTGGCGATTCTATCCCCGACATAAACAAGCAGTGACGTCATAGTGAATTAGGTCAATTGTATGCAACATTTTGCGCAATGTTGCACCGTGTGTCCGTAGCCTTACAATCCTTCACTGATATATGCTCAATGATCCATGTATATTTTCGCCATTCGGCTCAATGGTAAAAACTCAACACGAAACCGGATTGAAATGACATTTATCGATAGATAACTATATTATTGAGAAACATTTTAAGGACATAGTGTTACCTTGTAGAATCTCTGTCCTTGTTGCACCTCCATGTTCCCCATAACAACTGGAATTTCAACCTTCCCATTCTCATCTCCATGGAGCTTGGCAGCTTCTTTCTCTCGAAACACAAACGCCTTGATACAGAGAAGCTGATAGGGTGATGAGCACACCATCTTGACCCCTGCGTTACACACTCGCATCTTAGCAAGCCCTCCCTTTCGTGATTGTACTTTCTCGAAAACCGTGTGTTCGTCCAAGTTAAGGAACTGTAGCTCAGCTTCGCGGTGGATTTCACCGAAACTGTCTGGCGATATACCGAAGATCGGAGATGTAGAAAATGGAAGTGACCCAATCATAGTGTCGTTTGTGTACATCATGTGGGGCATGTACGAGTCTGGTATTCCAGGTTGTTGAATTCTCACTGGATCTATAGAAAAAGAAATACGTTTTAAAGTAGGTATGGGTGTGAAATCTCGCGGTATGGGCAGTGTCGAGCCGTGTTGGTGACGATGCCAGCCTTTGGTTCGTGATCAGGAGATCAATCCTAGATTGAACCTAACAGTCACGGACAGATAGATAGATAGATACTTTTATTTAAACAGGGTTATCCTATCAGTAAAATACAATAAATTTACTGTTATCAACAGGAGCTCTAACTAAAGAAAAATAAAACAAAAGAAATAGACTAAAATATTTAAGATATGAAATTAAGCTAAAAACTAACACTAATAATAATATCAATATCAACAGGAGCTCTAACTAAAGAAAAATAAAACAAAAGAAATAGACTAAAATATTTAAGATATGAAATTAAGCTAAAAACTAACACTAATAATAATATCAATAAACTATACAATATATATACTRAATTTATATACATACATACATATAAACATGCAGAGTAGGATGTACACAAGCAGACACATACATAGAACACACTCTTGCATGCATATATGTAGGTATAATATTGTAATATGTATATGGATAGTTGCATAGGAATCCGAGAAAAGAAAAGTTAAAAGAGTTTCAGCTACGAAAATGGGATTTGACTCGGTTGATCCAAAAATTTCATAAAGTTGCTACTTGCGATAGCGGGATTCGAACCCACGAATAAGAGATATGGTAGTTCTTTAGATTTCGGTATACATGTATCTTTCCAGTCATTCGACAATGCTTTTCATCAATATGACCCCGAGATCGTCATAATCAATTAGATTATAAATAAAGAATTGTCATCAACTGCAGTTCTTTGCAATAGAAATCATTTTGTAAACATGTCAAGGTGTTATAACTGACAACCTAAAGTGCAAATGCATACGGAAAAGAAAAAAAGCTTTATCAAAATTCAAATTAGTTAAAGCTTCCGAATCTAAAAGTCAATGAATGATTAACGATACATATCATAATTAACTAAATTAATTAGCAATTAATTAATTAATTCACAAATAATTAAAACATGAAATTCTAGTGATATGATAAAATAATCATGTTTCAAAAACATGGCTATGGTCGCCGTTCAGTCCATGGCTTGAAATTCTACTCCTTGTTACCATTTGAATACTTGTCAATCATCAAAACCATCGTCRACACTCGAGTAGCCATGCATGTACATAACAAGGAAATATATTTCATCTTTCTACATGGTTTCTAGTATTAAGTGCATAAATCGAGTTAATTTAAAGTCTCACACTCCTGTATCTATTCTTTGTTGTACTAGGATAGAAGTTGGAAAAAATTTGATCCGAATGTCGACGTGAAGCTAACACAGATAGCTTATTCCAGCCGGAACTTTCCGAAACGCCACATTTCCTTATTAGTACAAATTATTCTGAATATCGCTGTACTATTTTCTCCTATGATTTGCTATACCTTCGAAAGTAAAAGCACTTTTCTTTTAGCATCAGTTTGAAACAACATTTATAATATCAAATATCTTAAAATGCCATGATTGTAAGAAATTTAAGTCAGGGTTTTAATAAAGTCTTGTAGTGATGAAGAACAATGAACGCTTGGCTTTAGTCTCTCGTAAAAAGTGTGTAGAAGTTCTTTAGTTTGACCAGAAAGCAGCCAGCCTCCTAGCTTACCTGATGAAAGAAGAGGTTCTCTAAGTTCGTCCGTCATCTTCACCAACGAGTGAGAGCAAGAACGTAGCAATAAAATCGCTTAAAGCAAGTCAAGTTGGACTGATCTTGTCCTTGACGTGACACAGAGCCTTCGAAAAGAGCCTAATAAGACAACGACACAACTATTGGAATGGTTTCGAAACCTTCGACTAAGAACACTAGGACCAGCTCTGAATGAGATCAGAAATAAGACCTGGACATCTAGAGCTGAAGTGTTTAGTTTGATTCTAATGACGTTGAATAACATAGGGGTTTACCCGTTGCTTTAGGCTTCCTGTTATGACGTTATTGAACTACCACAGGGAGCCCAAAGAAGCTACAGCAAAACGAAGCAATACTTTATTGAAACACTTGTTTCGTTTCTTGTGAGGTTGCGATATTGCTCACGTATGCGCTTAATGATCTTACGTCTGAAGTCCATTCGATTTCTTTCTTTACAATTTTTTTCTAATTATAATCTTCAGCAATATATTGTAATATTCAGCTTTCTTCAGCAATCTCTCCTGTAATAACAGGTCTTGATCATCTTTAATCAGTTATTGTTTATTCTACACGATCATTTCAATTTTAGTGACTTCGTAATTCAAAACTAGCTCAAAAGGTTTTAGAAGGAGCTTTAGAGGGAATTATTCGTATTATACAAGATGACGTCATGAGAAAGTGACGTCACTAATAACAACAACGGAAAAGGAGATGATGCTAATGTCAATAGGGCCTTTACAGCTAAGCAATCACGTGCTGATTGACGGAGAGGGAGATGATACTAATGTCAATTACCATCTCCAGATTATCAAGGTATACATTCATTTATTTTCTTTACTCTTTCATTTTCCCATTCCTTATATTCCCATTTCATTATCTTTCCACTGTTCCTTGTTCAACTCCCATTATTTTCTTTTCCCCTTTCYCCTTTTCTCCTTTATTTCATTCTCCCTTTCTTTAATCCACCCTTCATTTTTGATAGGGACATCAATTCGTTTTGAAACTGCTTCTTGGGTAACAGTTAAGTCGTTTGGGGTAATACTTGACACTTTCCTCGTTTCTCCACCCCTCAGGGTATACATCTGTATAGTAATACACTCTGGAACATTTCTGGTCGATGGCGTAAATGATTGGTCCTCCCACTTCCTTGACGGGATCCAGGTTAAGGACTGTCGCTAGTTTGGAGCCTCCGTAGGAACAACGATCAAGATTGAGGTAATAGTGGACCTTGGTGGTGTTTACTATATATAGGGGGAAAATGACGAGAAATATGAAAACGAATGACAAATGCATAGATGGATGGGCGTGTGGAATAGAGGATGGATGGATGGATTTAAAGAGTGGGGTGGATCGATGAGGTAGTGCAGTTAGTGGGTGGATGGGATGGATGGATGGATGAGAGGTGAGGTGGATGGTATGGGTGGATCGATGAGGTAGTGCAGGTAGTGGGCGGATGGGATGGATGGATGGGTGAGAGGTGAGGTGGATGGTATGGGTGGATCGATGAGGTAGTGCAGGTAGTGGGTTGGATGGGATGGGATGGATGGATAGATGGATAAGAGGTGGGGTGGATGGTATGGGTGGATCGATGAGGTAGTGCAGATAGTGGGTTGAATGGGATGGATGGATGGATGAATAAGAGGTGGGGTGGATGGTATGGTTGGATCGATGAGGTAGTGCAGGAGTGGGTGAATGGGATGGATGGATGGGTGAATGAATGAAAGTGGATAGAGATGGGCTGATGGATAGATGAGGTGGTTGGTATATAAATGGGTTGATGGAAAAAATATTGATGGATGGGTAAATAGATGGATTGAGGGTGGAGAGATGGATGGAATGTGGGATAGATGCAAGAATAAATCAATGAAATAGTCAAAATCATTACTGCAAAATCTAGATATGACTTGGCTTACCCTTAGTAGCATTTAATGGTGGTAAGTTTTTAAGCTGATGCAGTTTATTTTGCAAAGCAGGCCAAGATGGGAATTCCATCCCATAAACCTCGAACGTCTAAATAAAATTTAAAAATTTAGTCATTTCCAGTCAAGAGAACTTTTACTCGTTCTGTTTGTTGATCGTTTCTGCTGTTTTCAATATGTTTAGAATATAACTAGTCCCCTCACACCAGGAATGCAAGTGGATCCACCTTGTTAATTTTACTTCATGTATTTACCCTCATAATTTGACTAGGAAAGTATTTAAACGTTGAATAATGGCCTTTGATGCTTCCCATTTTACAGATATACACCCGCAAGGCGGAACCGGGGTAAAAGAGCTCGAAGGCTAAAGCAGCCAGGCCAATCAGTAGGACCCCAAGTACAGAGAAAATGAGACAGAGAGCTGTTGAAGAAAGAAAAGGAAAACATCAGTATTTGTACCTCGCAACAACAACAAGGTCAGTTAAAAGAACATGTACACTACATAGTATATGAAGGGAGGTATATGAAAGGGGTATAAAACGATGGCGGAGGGAGGGGGAGGTTGGGAGGAGGGGAGGGAGGGAGGAGGGGATTGAGGGAAAAGAGGGGAGGGTAGAAGTAGAGGGGAAGGAGGTCAAGAGGGTATGATGGTGGCTATGGTCAGGGTATGTTGACTTTCGATATGTTACTTCATGTAGTATCTACCTTGTCGGGCTCGTTTCCTCTCTTTTCTCAGTCTTATGGTCATCTGTATGTTGAAGTGATCATACAAGCTTTCTACCTCCTTGGCCACTTGTTTATCAATGATTCCCATCACAATACACACAAAACACTGTGGACAAACAACCAATATTCGTCATGTACTGAACAAATCAAAGAAATATTTTATGATTGGTGATATTATAATGAAAATGCTATTGTAGATGATGAAAAATTGATGATGGTGATGACGATGAAAAACAATTATGGTGATAATGATGATGATTGTGCTTATAATATAAATATTAAAGATAATGATCATAAAACCATGCTGAAGATGCTGAGGCGTAATGATGTAACGATAATGATCATCATGATCATCACGATGATGAAGATGTTAAAAAAGATGCTGATACTAACGACTGTGATGGTGATGATAATGGTGAAAATAATTATAGTAATGGCGAGAGGGGTATGAAAATAAATRAAAAACGATTGAGAAGAAGAGGAAACATTGATGATGGTGATGACGAAAAAGCTGATGATGATAATATATGATGGTGATTGAGGATATAAGGATGATGATGATTATGGAAATGATTTGATGATCATGATGATTGAGATGAAAAAAATGATGTTTTTGTTTATGATGATGATGATGATGAAGCAAAGATCAAGGCAATGATGGTCATGATGATTAAGATGACAATGGTGTATGTGATTACAGTGATTGTGACATTAATGGTGATTACTGATCAGTGATCATGGTGATGATGATGAAGCACAATATGTTTAATGACGGGAGTCTTACTTTGACAAGTCTTTCCTCGTCACTGTTCCTCGGTTTACTGTCCTCCATAGCCATCCCTAACAGAGTCCCWCTCTTGGTTACCATGGCACCCGGTGGCAACTGCGACTCTGCCATAGCCATACCTGGCTTGTCTAAGTTAAACGAGGAGTATATCCTCTCTCCAGCACGTATAGAACCAACACAGTTTACCTTGACGATCCCAATAACACAGACCACATCCGAATTGTCTATAGTGATTCAACAAACGCACCCATTTGAAAAAGTTTTTTTTAGTGATATACAACATAGAGCAGTTTTTCGTATGCCTGTGAAAAGCTCTGTGCCGTATGCATGCCTTGCCACGACCATGAAGTCTTCTATAATCTTGATTAGCTGGGTTTTTTTTCTCGCGCAATGTGATTGGTGTAACAGTGTCGTGGCCTTGGCATGACCTTGTCCACGCCGCGCCGCGCTCATGGCGTTTTTGAGTATTTGATTGGATGGAGAGTAAATTCTCGCGCAGTGCGATATGCCGGGCGTATGCCTTGCCGTGTCACGACCGCGTTAGTCCGCGTTAGTCCTAAACGTCAAAGGCACTTACCTTTTTCAAAACCCTGTTTCGCTTCAATGTAAGCAGACCTCGAAATCACCCCGGCCATAAAAGCATCTTTAACGTTGTTATTATCAAGAAGATCAATAACCGTTTTCCCTTCATTATCTTTAAAAAATCCCACGACATCACCCTCTTCAAAGTCCTCCCTCAAAACCGGGTGTTTCAGGCCAAAACGATATCCAATGTCCGCATTCTTAGGTGATGTCATAACACGAAACGTTAGATGGTCAATGGACGCTCGTTTTGCTTCAAGGTGGTCCAAGATGCGAACCCTGTCGAACTCCACAGTCCTGGGATCTGAGGTATGTAGTAGCAAAACTAATTTTAATTTTTTTTGTATTATTTTTTATATATAAACAAGATATATAGAGGATATTACATGGGCGCGCGGAGATACGAAATTTATCTTCGAGTGTTGAAAAGATCTCTCACAAGTGAGCGTAGCGAACGAGTGAGAGATTTTCAACACGAGAAGATAAATTTCGTATCTTCAAGCGCCCATGTAATATTCTATTTATTATATAATTATCAATGACAGTATGTTTTGGCTTTTTCAGGCAATTCTTTCCGCGTATTTTTGAATAGCCATCGCAATGGTGTTATTTTCACACGTGAAAATAACATGTTATTTTCACGTGTGAAGATATCAATTTTTCGAAATAGAGAAAAATAGATATTTCATCGGTAATTATGTAATAAAATAATATTCTTTAAACAAAGTAAGAGGGTCTATAAGTGATTAATGAACATTTTAAAGGCACAGTTTTAGCTTGGTTGTAATGCTTCCAATTTCAGACAATGTGTCATTTAATTCCCTTGAGTTTCGTGTCTTCGTTTAAAACAGTTGTGTATGAGAAAGCACATGAATAAGGATACAGCTCAAACAAAAAAACTTTTATTCTCAAGAGAATGGCACGCGTTTTGAAATGGACAGCAGTAGACCTCCTCGGCTTTGACGTAATGTTTTCCCATTTCAGACCACGTGTCATTCCCTAGAGTATCATTTCTTTGTTTAAGGTTTGCGCTCGGTTGCACATGAGAAGACACATGAATATGGACACAACTCAAACAAAGAATATCATTCTCAAGGGAATGACACGTGGTCTGAAATGGGACAACATTACGCCGAGCCGAGGAGGTCTATACGCTTATAGCTACATGGAAAAATGTCAGAAGAACGGACATGGTTGTCATACCTCCACCGTTACTTGGTAGACTGCTGTACAGCGGACTTTCCATTTCTTAGATTTTTTATTAGTCAAAAACAACAAAAAGGTTAGTTTCGTGTTAGATAATTTATTACTGTTGGCTGTTTATTTTAAAAGTGAGCGCATGGTTTTTAGCTCTAGTCTTCTGTCTTTTTGAAGTACTGAACATTCTTCAAATATCTCTTTCCAATTTAGGGATTCTTGACTTTTTTATCATTCTCTCTGTCTCTCCTCTCTTTACCTGAAACAATTCTCAGAACACGTATGTAATTTTTTTTGAAATAGGCGGTCATTTCCTATTAAATTTCATAATATCATTCCAACATGGCGGGTGTGACGTCACACACGTCGCAGTCTTAGTGTAATCGTGTTTGTGTTTGCCGCTTACCTATCTCATGATGAGTCCTTTGGACATCTGGAGAATGCAGACTGTTTTCATCCTCTTAAAATAGATGAAAACATATTTTCACTGATTAGTTTTTGTACCTTGCCCCTCTTTAAACGATTTTTTTCACTTTGTTCCGCTTATTGCGTCTTGATAGCATCAAGATGTATTAATGGGAACGGCAAATCACATTCCAACATATATATCTTAAGGCACAGAATTGGACGATAAATTAAAGTTGACACATATTTTTTAGAACCTTAATTTTTTGACACGTGCGCAATGAAATCAAACATGATTCCTAGTTACCAAACTTCCTCTTCATTGTCCTCGGTTTGGTTCTCATTAGAAAGGGAACACTTTTGAACTCTTGATATCCCAGGCCGCCGATGTACTGAACTTGAATCGATAGCTGAAACAGATTYCTTGTTTCCATTTCGACCTTTGATAGCTCGTAGACCGGTTTATTGGGCCCCTCGTAAACTGAATCCAAATTGACAGAAAGAAATTGCTGAAAAGATGAATAAATGAGGAGTGAGAACCTGAAGGGATGGGCTGATCTAATTCAGAACACGGATCACTTACACTCGGTTCCAACCCTGGAACGACCTCTGGAGTGATAGTCAGGGCATGGCTAACTCACAGATCCAGCCCTGAAACAACCTCTGGAGTGATCTAATTCAGGGCATAGCTAATTCACAGATCCAGCCCTGAAACAACCTCTGGAGTGGTCTAAGTCAGGGCACGCACGGCTAACCCGAAGATCAAATTGGAATTCATCGTGTTAGGTTTTACGAAGGGAGGAATGAATGACGAATTAGTATGCTTCGTGATAACAATGGTGTCCTACCTTATAGAATCCAGGGCTATCTTCAACATCCATAATCTTCCCCATAACTACTGGCAGTTCTATTCTTCCATTCTCATCGCCGTGGAGTTTCGCTGCTTCCTGCTCTCGTGACACAAAGGCTTTTATACACATGATTTGAACGGGAGTTCTGCACACTATCTCGATTACACCATTAATAACTCGCATTCTTGCCTGTCCTCCTCGTCGAGATTGAACTTTATCGAACACCGTATGCTCGTTCAAGTTGAGGAAAAGAACTTCAGCTCCTCCAGGGTGCTCGTAGAGGGTATCTGGCGAAGTTCCGAATATGGGGGATATAGAGAAAGGAGGTGTGCCGTATATCGTAGTTGCTGGTAAAGTCATGTTGGAGAAGGAAGTGGAGCTTGAATCCTGATGTTCTGTTAAAAATAATCAGATATGAAATATTGATAGCATTAATAGCGTTAAAAAAAATTCGCGAAAAAAATGACTCTATAGATGTGCCGTGGCCGTGACCGTGACTCGGTAAACAGCTGCGCATGGCATTTAAACCCCCTCTATACTATTGACCTCCTAGCTGCTACCATAGTTACAGAGCTCTATTATATGCTCCTACTTATTACTCATTCTCGAACCCAGAGCCCTTATTTCTCACTGCGCATCCTCTACGCCATTATTATTTTACGTCGAGCATGCGCATTAAGAAATAAGGGCTCTGGGAACGAAATTACTCATTACTGATATAGTAAGTAAATCACTGCTCATGCCTAGAGAAGATTTCGAGCTTGATATGAAAAAAATCATAGCAGGGTGGGGGGANGGGGGGGGGGGGGGGGGGAAGGGGGATGGTTATCGGGAGAGATTTGTCTTTTGGTGATCATAATTAGGGCATTTGAAATTCCCGGTTCTATCGAGACATCATATAGCTGCCATGTTGCTTCTCATTGCGAAGCAGAGATTGTAAGTGTGACGTCATTCGAATTATAAAAAAAACTTCCAGGTTCAAATCAAAAGCTAACTATATACTTGTTACGAAGGGTAAACAGAGGCTTTGCACCATCACGTGATGGCAGCCATGACAGGAGGCACGAACAATGGAATCTGGTCTTATCTGATTTACATTAGAAAGAATTTAGTTTCCCAGGGGAGAAAGACTCTATTGTTGTGCCTCCTGTCATGGCTGCCATCACGTGATGGTGCAAAGCCTCTATTGAATTGTTCTGAACTTCGTAGCAGCATTGATTACAAGTCCTCTAAAGACAGGGCCTTGCATATCAATTTATTATTTGGTTTTGTTTATAACCGCAAATAGTTTTACTTTCGATAAGCTTTAATCTTTTTTATGGTAAACCCAGAAGGAGTAACTTAAGATTCTCCAGGTTTCGAAAGTTGGCTTATGTATTTTCCGTTAACGACTTTTCATTTATCTAACACTTCCTTATTCTCACGGTTTAAAAAGCTTGAGATTTAAATATTTGTCTTCGTATGTCCTGCTTATTATTCAACGTGAAGAACAGTTCCGTGTCAAGGAATATTTGACAGTAATTTGCTGAGGTTTTAAAAGTGAAAGTGTTCAACTGCAGGTGACGTCTTAAACAGAGTTGAAGTACCAATATCCGTAAAAGGGAAAAAAACTCATCAAAAAATGAAAGAAAAGTAATCGAGAAAAAACAAAAAATATGGCGGAATAAATCATTTTACGCTCTGGGCCGGGTTGTTCAAAGCTGGATTAGCGCTAATCCAGGATTAACTCTACAGGTTTTATTAAGAGTTAACCAAGGATTAGCACTAATCGGGCTTTGAACAACTGGGCCCTGGTGTTACCAAGCCGAAATCTTTCTTTCCATCGGGTTGAATTTACACCACCGCTCAACCTTAAGGAGGAGAAGTAAATGTTGAAGAGTAATAGAGTAGATGTGGATTTGGCACTGATATACTTCTCTACATCATTGGTACACACTGTAGCATACGTTTACTTGATTATCCGATTGACGATGTCGAGACGTCATAGTCATAGGAGTAGCTAAACATAGACGACACTCTAGTTATGATACATCAGTGTCATTAACGTTGTCCACCGAAAAAAGACATTTACACATTTACACATTTAGACTAAAGTGAGCCTGAACTTTAAATGTAAAATTCAACTCGTGAAACTGTGAAACTTTGAAACTTTGAAACTTTGAAACTTTATTGATGAATAAAAGAATACAAAAAAGAAAAACTATATAAGTGACCTGCATATAGCTAAAGCTAGTCTAGGCAGGTTAAATTCACAATATACACGTAGATTTACAAAGATGTCTTTATATGTTAATAATACTAAATAATCAGAGTACAAAGAGCTGAATAGGAAATGAAAAGTAGTTCACTGAGTAGAAAATGAAAAATAGCTCATTACAGATAGACTTACTTAAAAAGTTTGAAGATCTCAGTATCATCGAATCAGTGAATCGAAAATCCAGAATGCCCCGACCATTTAGTGAGGATTATAGATGGAGAATTGTATTTCAGCGTTTGTTTTATGCCAGAACATTCGAGGAAACACGTGATATTTCTTTTAGTCTAAATGTGTAAATGTGTAAATGTCTTTTTTCGGTGGACAACGTTAATGACATTGAYTGTATATGCACTCACATGCTTAATAGTCTTATGTTTTGATAACATGTTCTACTAAGAAGCTACATAGTTATTGGAAACACATGGCAGAGCGCATTTTCCGTGCTGAATATTTCTTAGAAACTTCTAATTCTATATTCAATAATAATTTCACTATTCGTTTGCCATGTGGAAATGATAGCAAGGAAAGATCATGAGTAATTCAGATCGTGTGTGTCGCTAGCTTTTCGTTCTATATCGGAATTAACTAATTAATTTTAAAATTATCATTATTCGAGGTGAATAAGTTACCTTGTTGCAGAAGTGGTTCCATCAAATCGCTTACATTTTCCGCCATGATTAGTCTTCAATTCCGCCTAAAAACCTAGACTGACTAAACATTGAAATTCAAATTTATATTTAATTAATAAACGTTCAAATTAAGTTGGTGACAACGATTCCTAGGCCAGTCGCATCATCTTGCTATCACAACTCAAGTAAGAATCCAAGATTTTTTTAAAAAACTTGATTTATCGAAATGCCAAATATGAACTGCTCGGTTTTTCCCCTGACGTATAACTTCCCGTCGTTGGAAGTCAATGATTGGATAGCGTTAGATAAACTAGAAGAATTCTAAGGAAATAATTTAATTTATGTACCGCGAAGAAGTTACCAGAGTCACCACAAACCGTATAGCACTTGTTTATTGTGTAGTAATGTAGTGTATTCGATCTAAAACATGCAGATCACATAGCTTAATATTTACGATTACAATCGTGTATAATGAATCATAAAATTCACACAACTTACTTCTGTGGCGACTATATAAAGACATACTTCTT